CATTCTTCGAAATTGGAGGCCTTGGGACATAGGATAGTACATTCACTAGTTATGAGGGCTTGGCCGCTCTTACATTACTGATAAAATTTAACTAAATGGTGTACATTCCAGTGCCTAGGGACTTCTTTCCCGTTGGGGCGTTTGAGCTTGTAGGTCCCGGGTTTGATGATGGCTGCTATGATGTAGGGGCCATTTTTCCTCCCTCGGTTGGTTGGCTGGCTTCCCTCCTCCGGAGGACATAGTCCCCCACTTGAAATTCTCGGGTGCAAACTTTGGCGTCGATGTAGCTTTTAACTTGCCTTCGGTAGTTTTCTGCCCGGATGAAGGCCTGCTCCCGGCGTTCTGAAATGAGGTGGAGGTCGAGGGCCATGTTGCTGTCGTTGACCTCGGGGTCATATTGGATTACCCTTCGGGTGGGAAGGGTGACTTCCGTAGGAGCTTTGGCTTCAAAACCGTAGCAGAGGGAGAAGGGTGTTTCACCTGTTGCTCGCCGAGGGGTGGTGCGATAGGCCCAAAGGATATTGTGGAGTTCTTCCACCCAGCCACCGCCCTCGGCCTCTAGCTTCTTTTTGAGGCCTTCGAGCAAGGTCCGGTTGGCATTCTCTACTTGCCCGTTGCCTTGAGGGTAGGCAACGGAGGAGAAGGTGTGTTTGATGCCCCATGCCTCCAAAAGGGCACAGAAGGGGGCCGCCTCAAATTGTGTCCCATTGTCGGAGATGATCTGCTGGGGGACGCCAAACCTTGTGAGGATGTTCTTGAGGACGAAGTGACGGCACTTCGCCTCTGTGATGCTGGCGAGGGGTTCAGCCTCCACCCACTTGGTAAAGTAGTCGACGGCCACAATGATGTACCTGTTGTTGGAGGTACCCCTCGGCAGAGGGCCCACAAGGTCTATCCCCCATCGAGAAAAAGGGACAGATGTGCTGATGGGGGCATAGTTGACCGCTGGCCTGCCGGGGGCTTTCTGGAAATGTTGACATGCGGTGCACCTCCGGGCAAGGTCAGCACAATCTCTGGCCATGGTTGGCCAGAAGTAGCCCTGGAGAATGAGCCTTCGGGACATGGAGAAGGGTCCCTGGTGAGCTGAGCAAGTGCCACTGTGCACTTCCTCCATTGCGACCTCGGCTTCATCTGGATGAAGGCACCGAAGTAGCGTGCCATTGTAAGATCGTTTGTAGAGCCTTCCATCTTCGATGGTGTAGCTGGGAGCCCTCAGCTTTGCCAGTTTAGCGCGGGCCTCATTCTCGGGTAGCTGCCCTGTGGAGATGAAGGCGGTGATATCTGAGATCCAATCCTCCTGGCGTTGTTGTATGTTCATAACGGGGCTTGCATGGATGCTTGAGAGGCTGAGTTCCTCGATTTTGGCAATTTTGGAGATGTGCTCGGGGGAGTCGGCCGAGAGCTTAGATAATATGTCGGCCTCGGAGTTCTGAGCCCTCGGTATTTGAGTGAGGGAGTGTGCCTCAAATACCTTAAGCAACTCCTTGGCCGCTTCCTTGTACTGTTTCATTCTCCCCTCCTTGGCCTCATATTCTTCGGAGATTTGGCCAACGACCAACTTGGAGTCGCATTTGATGTGGATCTGCCGAGCCCTCATGTTGGCAGCCAGCCGAAGGCCACATAGGAGGGCCTCATATTCGGCCTCATTGTTGGAGACCTTGAAGGAGAAGCGGATTGCATAGTAGCCCCTGAAGCCCTCGGGAGTAATGAGGACTACCCCTCCCCCGCATGCTTTGGTCGCGGAGGAGCCGTCAGTGTAGAGGGTCCACCAGTCGTCCGAGGTAGCCGAGGGCTCCCCGTCCGTGGCTGCCCTTGCGGTACACTCCGTCACAAAGTCCGCCAGGGCTTGGCCCTTGATGGCAGGCCTTGGGCGGATGTCAATGTTGTACTGGCTCAAGAAGATAGCCCACTTCACCATGCGGGAGGAGCTGTTGGGGCTCCTCATGAGGGCGCCGAGGGGTTGATGAGTGAGGACCTGAACCGGGTGAGCCTGAAAGTAGTGGCCCAACTTTTTGACAATCCAAACGATGGCTAACACCGTTTTTTCCACAGGGGAGTACCTGAGCTCGGCCTCCCTTAGGGTCTTGCTAACGTAGAAGATGGCATGTTGGATGCCGTCTTCCTCCCGGATGAGCACAGAGCTGACGGCCGCCGGGCTAACCCCAAGGTAGAGGTAGATGGTCTCCCCTACCTTGGGTTTGGAGAGCACAGGAGGTGAAGATAGATATCGTTTGAGCTCATCGAAAGCCCCCTGGCATTCTGGAGTCCATAGAAAGCCAGCCGTCTTCCTCATGATCTGGAAGAAGGGTAGAGACTTCTCCGCCGATTTAGATAGAAAGCGGTTGAGGGCTGCCAGGCGGCCCATCAACCGTTGGACTTCCTTCACATTGCGTGGGGGCTCCATGTTGATGATGGCCTGGATCTTCTCGGGATTGGCCTCAATACCCCTTCGGCTCACCATGTAGCCCAAGAATTTGCCCCCTTGGACGCCGAAGGTGCACTTCTTCGGGTTTAGCCGAAGGTTGAATTTTTGCATGATGGCGAAGATTTCCCGGAGGTCGTCAGCATGGCTGGAAGATTGTTTGCTCTTGACGATCATGTCGTCAACATAGGCCTCCATGGTGCGCCCTAGGACGGCTTGAAAGACCCGGACCACCATCCGGGTGTAGGTGGCCCCTGAGTTCTTTAGGCCGAAGGCCATCACTAGGTAGCAGAAGATGCCCTCGGGAGTCATGAAGGCAGTTTTTTCGGCGTCTTCCTCGTGCATAAAAATTTGGTGATACCCTCGGAAGGCATCGAGGAAGGACATGATCTCACACCCTGCGGTCTCATCCACCAATTGATCAATGTTTGGTAGAGGGAATGGATCCATAGGGCATGCTTTGTTGAGATCGGTGTAGTCCACGCACATGCGGAAGGTAGGGGGCTTCTGTGCGAGGACTACATTCGCCAGCCATGAGGGATATTTCACCTCCTTGATGTGCTTAATGGAGAGGAGCATGGCGACCTCCTTCTTCACAAATTCCCTCCTCTCGGCGGAGAGGGGCCTTCTTCGTTGTTGCACCGCTTTTGCCGAGGGGTCCACCGAGAGGCGGTGGGTGATGACCCTTCGGCTAATTCCCGGCCTGTCCTCCGGCCCCCATGCAAAGACAGTGGAGTAGGCGCGGAGGGCGTCGGTGATACCGGTCTTCAAATCTTCAGGGAGCTGGGCTCCAATCTTCACGACTCTCTCCGGCTGGGCCGGATCGAGCGCAAAGTCTTCTACGTCCTCGGCCGGTTCAGCCCTCGGCCTTCTTTCCTCTTGGTCGACGGTTCCGGTGATGGTGTCAACACGGAGTTCCGTCTTGCTTACCTTCTTAGTGACCTGAAGATAGCAGGCGCGGGCAATTTTCTGGTTCCCCCGGGAGTAGCCAATGCCCCCCTCGGCGGGAAACTTGAGGCAGAGATGCCTCATGGAGATGATGGCTTCGAGGTCCTCGAGGGCTGGTCGGCCGAGGATGATGTTGTGGGCGCAGTCAATGTTGACGACGACGAACTCCACCTCGAGCTGGGCTCTATGGAGCCCGTCGCCGAAGATCACCGGGAGGGTTATTACCCCCTCGGAATCAATAGTGTCGCCGGTGAAGCCGGCAAGAGGGGTCTTAATGGGCCGAAGGGACCCCCTCTCCAGATGCAGCTCTCTGAAGGTGCTGAGGTACATTACATTGACGGAGCTGCCCGTGTCAATGTAAGTTCGGTGAATAATGGTGTCGTTTATCTCCGTCCGAATCACCAAGGCATCCCTGTGAGGAGAAGAAGTAGGAGGGAGATCTGCGTTGGTGAAGGTGATGGGTTCCTCCCTCAATCGCTTTACCGGGGGCATATGAGTGACTTCCCCCACGTAAAGCGATTGAGCCCACTTCTTACGTTGGCTGGTGGAATCGCCCCCCGTATTGCCACCGGTGATCATGAGGATGTGGCGTTTCTTCTCCTGGTAGTGGGGGTACTCCTCCTCCTCTTCTTCCAAGTTTCCGATCTCCCTCTTCTTGCCGAGGGGGATGGTGTTCGGATTTACCCAGGCATTTACCTTCGTATGGTGCCCTCGGGGAGGTCCCTGATGAGAAGGTCCCTCCTGCCGAGGGCTCTGGACAAACTGGGACAGGTGCCCCGCCTGTATTAATCTCTCGATGGCCGTCTTCAGCTGATGGCAGTCATCGGTCCTGTGCCCCTGATGCCGATGGAAGCGACAGTAGGGGAACTGAGGGTTGATAGCGTGTACCTCCGGGGGTGCGCGAGAGTCGCGCTCAACGAGGCCCCTCTCCTCAGCAAAATCGAGGATGATGCTGACGGGGTGCGTCAATGGTGTCCGAGGGCGGTCCAGGAGAATGGGCTGGGCCCAAGTCTTAGGGTTGCTCTTATAACCTCCCCCGGGCTTGGCTTGGCCTTGCCGAGGGCGATTATCAGAGGGTCCCGAAGCCTTGGGGTGATTCGGAGGAGCCCCCGGCCCTCGGTTATGCTTGTTGTCAGCCCTCGGGGGCTGCTGGTCCGGATGCTGGTGATACTTCTCCACCTCCTCGGCCTCAGCATATCGGTCCCCCCGCTGCAAAGCCCTTATGTAGTCGCGGGGGGGGGGGGGGGTTCAATGATGAGGCTCCTTGAACATAATCAGGTCCAGCTGGTAGTTGTTGTCCAGCACTTTGATCCATTTCTCCCTTGGGTAGATGGTATCGTCAATCGGTGCGTGATTTGTGCCTGCCATAATGAGCTTGGGAGAAGGTTTTGGGAAGAAATGGAAAAGGAGATCTCGAGATTAAGAAAACTAAGCTCTGGACTTGTGCGAGAACGAAAACTGAGAACGATGAAGTAAACACGCGAGATCTCCCTTTTTATATGCGAGATTTAGGGCCTGGGCCTTGCAAAAAAATATTTCGAGCCTAGAGCAAAGTGTTGGGCCCAGTGCGATTTAAAAGCTGGTATGAGGCCCGAAAACCCAAAAAAAAATTACACCCCCTAGAAAGATGCAACAACAACAACAACAACATCCAAGCCTTAATCCCAAAAGAATTTGGGGTCGGCTAACATGAATCGATCTATGATATCGATGCCAAAAAGAGAAGGCGGACAAGAAAAGGAAAAAAAAAAGTAAGATAAAATGAATAAAATAAAGATACATAAATATAAGATAATAATAACACAAGAATATAACCAAGATAAAAGAAAAATAAATAAAAGAACATAAAAAAGCTAGAAGATAAAAATAACATATAACATAACATAAGAATAACATAACATAAGAATATAAAAAGATAAGGAAGATAAACGATAAAAGAAACAAGAGAGGAAATGTAGACAAGACATCAATCGTCCACATAGATGTGCGCCCTCCACTTTGCTCTCTCCAAAGCCATACTCTCATCCAACCCAAGAAGACGCATATCAGTTCTGATTACTCTAATCCAAGTCTGTTTGGGTCTTCCCCTCCCTCTCTTCTCTGACTCTTCTCCCCACCCCTCAAGTCGTCTAACAGGTGCATCACTCGGTCTTCTATGCACATGCCCAAACCACCGCAAACGAGACTCCTGCATCTTATCTTCTATAGGTGCTACTCCCACCTTTTGTCTGATTACCTCATTCCTCAGGCGGTCTTTTCTGGTATGTCCACACATCCAACGCAACATACGCATCTCTGTCACACTCATCCTTTGAATGTGGCATTGCTTCACCGCCCAAAACTCTACGCCATACATTAATGCCGGCCTAATTGCTGTACGATAAAATTTACCTTTCAATTTAGTCGGCATACCTCGATCGCATAGAAATCCTGAAGCACTTTTCCATTTCATCCACCCAGCTCTGATTCTATGACATACATCTCCATCTAATTCACCATCCTTCTGAATTATGGATCCCAAGTAACGGAACATATCACACACCGGTATCTCCTTACCATCAAGAGTAATCCCACTGTTGCTACCGCTTCTACCTCCACCGAACTTGCACTCCATATACTCAGTCTTGCTTTGGCTCAGTTTGAAACCCTTGCTCTCCAATGTTTGTCGCCATACTTCCAACTTTGCTTTAACACCGGATTGTGTCTCATCAATCAAAACAATATCGTCGGCAAACATCATGCACCACGGTATATCTTCTTGAATTGACTTCGTAAGTTCATCCATGACTAAAGCAAATAAGAAAGGACTCAGAGCAGATGCTTGGTGCACTCCAATAGTAATAGGGAACTCTGCGGTCCTCCCTACACTAGTGCGGACACTTATAGTACAAGCATCATACATATCCATGATGATGCTGATATACTTACGTGATATGCCTTTTCTAGTTAAGGCCCACCAAAGAACTTCTCGAGGTACCCTATCATATGCCTTTTCTAAGTCAATGAACACCAAATGCAGATCCTTTTTAGTGTCTCTATACTTCTCCACAACTTGTCTAAGAAGGTGAATGGCCTCAGTTGTTGAGCGTCCATGCATAAAACCAAATTGATTCTCCGAAATTTTCACACTTTTACGTAGTCTTTGCTCAACCACTCGCTCCCAAAGTTTCATGGTGTGACTCATAAGCTTAATCCCTCGATAGTTAGCACATTCTTGCACATCACCCTTATTTTTAAATAAGGGAATGAGAGTACTCTTCCGCCAACTCACTGGCATTTTGTTGTTTCTCCAAATCATGTTGAAGAAACGTGTTAGCCACTCGATGCCTTTCTCTCCCAAACTTCTCCAAGCCTCGATCAGTATGCCATCTGGGCCCACTGCTTTCTTCCGGCCCATTTTTCTCATAGCCTCTTTAACTTCTGTTGTTTGAATCCTTCTCACGAAGTCCCTATTTACCATACACTCAGGTATAGTAAGATCATCAATACCTTGGACTTTATTCCCGTTGAACAAGGTATCAAAGTATGACCTCCACCTCTCTTTTATTTCGTCATCGTCCATTAGTACCCTTTGATCGACATCCTTCACACACTTAACTTTTCCGATATCTTGAGTCCTACGGTCACGGAGGCGAGCAAGTCTGTAGATATCTTTTTCTCCTTCCTTAGAGTCCAACTTTACATACAATTCCTTATTCACTTTACCTTTGGCTTCCTTCACAGCTTTCTTCGCTCTTCTTCTAGCCTCTTTGTACTCCTCTATGTTCTCGTCGCTCCAACTTTTGCCCAATTTCTTATAGCATTCTCTTTTGGCCCTTATTGCTTGTTTCACCTCATCATTCCACCAAGATGTGTCCTTTTTTGGTGGCAGACATCCTTTAGATTCTTCGAGTATCTCCTTCGCCACTTTGTTAATGGTGGACTCCATTGGTAACCACACATCATCTACGTGTGCGTCATTATCAATAGACCAAACATCTTCCTCCAACATTTTGTGTGCAAAACTTTGTTGGAGATTCCCCTCGAGCCTCCACCATTTTATCTTTGGCTCCCCTTGTACCTTAACTCGTCCACTCTTTTTACCTCGAAAATCAAGCACAAGCATCGCTTCCGGGCGACGACCTAGCAGCCTTAGCACTCTTATAACCACACCCAGGCCTATGAAGTGTAGCACGCCCTTGCCCATTTGACACCACCCCCAGGTGGAGGGATGACGCGTCGCTTACGGGCGACGACCTAGCTGTAGCGATATTCATATGTCGATTCATGTCATGTGATGTGACTAAGTGATACTGTTGGCCGTCACGCGCCTACCACAGCACCCTCCTCCTTTATCCTGGCTTGGGATAGGCATGATACCAAAAAAAAATGATCTCATGGCGGAGTTCCTAGGCACACAACCAACACACACTATTTTTGTTTCTTTTCTGAGATTTCTCCCCCTTGACACATCCAACTCACTCTGTGTACAAAATGCAACTCACACACACTCTTTTTGTATTTTTCTGAGTTTTCTCCCCCTTGACACATGCAACACACTCTATGTACAGATGCAACTCACACACACTCTTTTTTTGTTATTATTTTTCTGACTTTTCTCCCCCTCAACACATGGCACGCACGCACACTATTTACAAGTTCCACTCACACACACTTTTTACAAGTCCCACACACATGCACGTACAGACCAGTGGAGATAAAATCACACAGGCTCGAGGTTCAACATGCCTAACTTGGAAACCAGGAACTGGAATCTCTTTTCTTCCAGCGCCTTAGTGAACAAGTCAGCCAATTGAAGCTCTGAGCTTACAAAGTACATATCAATATCTCCTTTCTCCACGTGGTCCTTGATAAAATGGTAGCGTAGATCAATGTGCTTGGTGCGGGAGTGGTGAACGGGGTTGCTGGTGATAGCTATGGTGCTCTGTGAGTCACTGTAGATCGGGATATGGCAGAAAGTGTAACCGTAGCCTTTTAGCTGAGTCTTCATCCATAATATTTGTGAACAACAGCTAGCAGCCGCGACGTCTTCTGCCTCAGCTGTAGATGTTGACACACAATTCTACTTCTTGGAAGACCAATAGACTAACTTCTCACCCAAGAATTGGGTGCCTCTCGAGGTACTTTGTCTGTCCATATGGCAACCCGCAAAATCATTGTCCGAATATCCGACTAGGTCAAAACCTGAATGCTTGGGGTACCAAAGGCCTAAGTTCTTCTTACAGCGGTCAGATGTGATTCCTTCAGATTCGCTTTGAAGCGTGCACATAAGCATGTGGAGAATACTATATCAGGCCTGCTAGACGTGAGGTACAGCAAAGATCCGATGATGGCCCTATAGTTTGTAGCATCAACTGGTTTCTATGAGGGATCTGAGTCCAGTTTATTATTGGGGGACATAGGGGTCATCATGGAAGATTTGCCATCAATGTTGAACCGTTTAAGCATTTCCAGAATATGCTTTGACTGATTAATGAAAATGTCGTCAGATAGCTATCGTTCCTGCAGGCCTAGGAAGAAATTCAGTTCTCCCATCATGCTCATCTCAAACTTAGTTCTCATCAGCTCTTCGAACTTTTTGCACAGACGGGGATTTGAAGAGGAAAAGATAATGTCGTCGACATATATCTGAATCAGTATGATATCAGTCTTATGTCTCTTGACGAAGAGTGTCGTATCTATCTTTCCTTTTGAGAAGCCTGAATCAATAAGAAATTCAGTTAAGGCATCATACCAGACCCGCGGTGCCTGCTTGAATCCATAAAGTGCTTTCTTGAGCTTGTACACATGATCAGGGTATTTTGGATCTACAAATCCTTCTGGCTGAGCGACATAGACTTCTTCTTCTAATACTCCGTTTAGAAAGGCAGTCTTCACGTCCATTTGAAAGACAGTGAAGTTTTTGTGAGCCGCGTACGCGAGAAAGAGGCGGATTGCTTCAATTCTCGCTACGGGCGCAAATGTTTCATCATAGTCTATGCCCTTTTGCTGATTGTACCCCTTCGTAACCAGCCTTGCCTTGTTGCGCACAACTATCCCTTCTTCGTCTCTCTTGTTTTTTAATACCCACTTCGTGCCAATGATTGTTTTCTTCTGAGGCTTAGGCATGAGTGTCCATACATCCAGCCTTTCAAACTGATTAAGTTCATCTTGCATTGCAATCACCCAATCAGGATCAAATAGTGCTTCAGAAACCTTTGAAGGTTCAGACTTGCTTAAAAAACAGGCAAAGAGACATTCATTCACTGTAGCGGATCTTGTGCGTACACCTTGACTCGAGTTCATCTTGCATTGCAATCACCCAATCAGGATCAAATAATACACCGATTATCTGTTCAACAGGATGGGCCTTAGTCCATTTCATTTCATGAGCTATAGAAATTGGAGTTATGATTGGTTGATCCGAGTCCTGATAAGGAGTGGTGGTGGTTTGAGCAGTTATGTTGTACAGAGGAGATGATTCTGGGGTTGTATCAAAACCATGATCCTCAACTTCTTCGTGATTGGATTGAGAAATGGATGGCGAAGATAGGACATCTTCTGGGCTAGGTAGAAGTGGAATCACAGTAGTTGGAGTAGGTTGTGGTGGAGGTTCTGAGGTTGAAGCTGGTGTGCATGGAGGAGATAGATGAAGGTTGTGAATTCTCGTAAAAGTGTCTGAAGAGAGAGTTGAGAATCACACCTTCCGGTACTTTGTTTGGATCATCTTTATCAGAAGCCTGTGATACAGAGAGAGTCGGGTCAGCCTGTAGGTGTTCTGTTGCGAAGTCAACCATTTCATAGAATGTCACATTCACACTCTCAATGACTGTTCGCATGTCTCTCAGGTAGACTCTATAAGCTTTGGACTGAAGTGAGTAGCTAATGAACACGCCTTCTCTGGCTTTCGGGTCCAGCTTGCTCTTCTCAGTTCGGTCATTCAGTACAAAACACTTGCAGCCAAATATCTTGAAGAAAGAGATATCTGGAGTTCTGTTGAAAAGGATTTCATAGGGAGTCTTGTCGAAGCGTTTGTGGATAGAAGTTCTGTTTTGTGTGAAGCACGTTGTGTTGATTGCCTCTGCCCACATAAAATGAGGCAGTCTGGATTGAATGAGCATGGTGTGTGCTGCTTCGACAAGTGTTCTGTTCTTCCTTTCAACAACTCCGTTCTGTTGGGGGGGTTTGGTTGTAGAAAATTGTTGTGTGATATCGAGAGATTCATAGAAATCAGTGAGAGTTTGATTGTTGAACTCGGTACCGTTGTCAGTTCTTGTAATGCGAACACTCATCTGTAGAAGATTTTGAATGG